ATCCCTTTTTCTTTTTTTCTTTTCTTCTTTTCCATCTGAAAATTGACTGGCGGCTATCAGCAAATTGGAGACAAGGAAACTTTCTGAAGTATTTGCTTTCTCAACTGCTATCATTTTCTGCAGTCTTCTTGGAACCGGATTTCTATTTGCTGACTGCATAGGCATTTTGTTGGAAGCTTTTTACTGAAAATACAAGAAAAAGCATTTGAATTGCTTTTGGATTTCTTATAGGATTTTGTCGTATTTTTAAAGCCTCTGATGTGTATTTCATTCCTTCTCATTTTTTGTTTTTCTTCTAAATATCTTCTCTGTATCCCGCGCAAGTTGGAATGCAAAATAATTAAGTAATTTGTGAGTCTCTGACTACAAAGTAACACTCCCCCCAACATTCTCAGTAATTCCATTTTTAGCTTTGGCCTGTAGTAGAGACAATAACAAATTGTTTTAGTCTTTTCACATGTTCTAGGTTTGCATTATAACTTAAAAACCTGTCCCAATCTACTCAGATTTTTGTGTACTTCATGATGATACTATTCTCACTTAATTGGCAACGACACCTTAGTTCTTAAATTACTTACAGATTATTATTTTTTTTTCCCTCCAGTGCTATTAAACTATTTCTCAACACTACAAAAGGAGCAGAAAATCCCCAGTCAAAACTTTTCAATACTGGATTATCTACATGAAACAAATACTTTTAGGTATTTTGCCTTCCTTTGACATTTGAAACCAGACTACTGCCTTCCTACGGGGCTGCTTTCTGAGGCTCGCGAACAGCTCGGCATTATGCAGAGAAGACTCAGCTTGGTTTTCTAAACAACATTTTCATGCCATGCCACCCACACAAAAGAGTTTGAGGCTTTCCTCGCCTCTTCAGTCTTGATATACTTCCTTTTTTTTATTCCCGTGTCTCCAGTCAGTGTGGCAATGTGTGGCCTGCAGGCTTGGCTTGTGATTTGGATTTGCTCGATGCAATACGCTGATATACAAATGCCCGGAAGGATTATCAAGGTATGCTCGCTACACCTAGAAATTAAGGAGTTTTTGTGGGCTTGAGAAGCGGGAACTCAAGTCCAGGCTTGAATTTGAGGTCCTTCACTTTGCTGTGTGTGCATTGTAGCATTCCCATAAAGGAGAATGCGCGCTGTGTGTGTCTGTTTCGTAGCATTTCCTAGGGGAAATATCAAAATTGTAGATTCTCTGGAATTGGGGATACAGCTGTGTCCAGGTATTTGGCACAAGCTCTACTAGTGTGAAACACCATAGTATCGTTACTCCCCGCGATGCTCGAGTATTTCATTTGCTGGAGTAGCACGGTGCAGTCGGCAGAAAGGTTATGTCATACGCACCATGAAAGGTCCCAGTAGAGCAGGTGGTCCTGGTCACCAGAGCCCACGGATGGCAGCAGGCAACCAGCATGGACAGCTGGCTCCTTGGGCTAGTGGCTCAGCTCTTTGAAAGGTGCAGGCGTAGGAGGACTTGCAGGCTTGGCCGGTGAGAATTTCTGTTTGAAACAGACAGTGGATAGTGAGTTCAGGGCTGATGGGAAGATTTAAAAGGAAACCATTTCACAGTGACTATCTCAGTTATGGTTTAAAATGTTTGTTTGGGAGAAAATGTCGATGAATTTGGGGGAAAAAAACCCCCAACAGACACCAACGAGAGAGAAACAATAAAAGGCTGTGCACAGTGCCAGCTGCCATTAAAGGTTGAAGGTTTATTTTCAGAGCACCGTTTTTAGAAACATTGCTTCAAATAATTTCATTGGTCTAAAGAAAATTGCACCTTGTACCTTTTTGTTCTGTTTTCAGAGGGGATTTTTATGGAAGAACAGGGCTGTTCTCTGAGTGCTGGACAGGTTAAGCCCTGCGCTTTTGGAAGAGCACTCTGAAAAGACACTGAGCGTGGTGTGTTGTGGATGCATAGTGAAACCACAGTCCTTGCTCTGCGATGAATAATTCAAAGGAAAGTGGCAGGTGGACCACAAAAAATCAGAACAGATTTTGTGAGTGTACTGTATAACGGGGGGCAGCAGACAGTAACGGGCCTCTTCCAGCTTCGTGCTCTCGTCGGGACTGGGCCCAGGTGATGGAGAATTCCCGTGAAATTTCCAGAATATAACAAATAATCGCCCGACACCAAATTAGTATTCCCTATCTTGGGTGGAACTGAGAGCTGGAAGTAAGGCTTGAACTTAAAGGAGAAAAAGTGCTCCTATTTTATTGTTTACTTTTAGCAGATACCATTGAGAAGCGGCATACGCAACAACGCTCACTGGGAAGCTACAAATAGCGTGATCACTAGCAAGCTGCCAGGATTTAGGAAAAAGAGTTTTCTGCATCCAGCCTGCCTTATTTCCCCTTAGAAATTTCATGGGGAATTTCACATGATCCTAAGCTTTGCATGCGTGTTATCCCTATACCACAGAAGAAGCAAGCACCCTTTTCCCTGCGTGGGAGAGTTAATAGCTATGGCCAACGGGCAAACATGCATTCTTCTGGCTAGTGGTCAAATGAAATCTGAAAGCCATCATGCTGTCCAGTGTTTTTACTGAATAGCTGATGCAGACAGCCGTATTGCTGGGACCAGCCTCGGGATTGTCTGGAAGGTTACTGAGCTTTTGGTTTGATCTTGGAACCATCTTCCCATGCAAATAAAGGGTAAGCATTAGTTAAGAATAATTACCTTAAAGCATTAGATGTTTTAAGATGTCATGTGTTTCTTCATTAAACAGCCTTTGAAAATTAAAGTAAAGGTCGTCAGCCCAACCCAGTTCTGTGGTTAATGTTTTTTCCTGGTTTGATTTGATCTAGTTACTCACTTCAGGTTGTTATAATCTTATCGGGGGGCAGCCTGTGAATCGTACAACAGAGGAAAACCATTCTGCCCAGCACGCCACCTACTCGCAGCTTTGCGTGTCACTGGCGCCATGAAAATCGGCTTGGTTTGGACTGTGTGGTGACCAGAGGAGGTCCTGCCCATGGTCGGTCCGTGCGGTCACCTATGGCAGGCGCTGGAGGGACAGTGGCTTCCCCGAAATGTCGGGCACACAGTGCGGTGACAAGGGGAGCGTGAGCCGTACGGAGGGATGAGCTGCTGTGCGCATCCGCAGATGGAGGGAGAAGTAGGATGCGTTTGGAAAATAGGCGAGCACTACCAGTGTGTAGTCAAACGCTACAATCACTGTGATTTTTACCTGGGTGCATTTAAACCAGATAAGCTTCTTTTTTTTTTTTTATGTCTTCTTTTAGCTTAGTGCAAATTATTACAGGTGAATTATCACTGAAAATAACGAGGCTTCAAAACCACTGAAGTTTTACAGCTGCAGTGTGTTGATACTCCGGGATCTCCTCTTTCTCACATATATTTGAAAGCACAGTAGTGCTCTGAGCTCAGTGCCTGCTTTTCACATGATAAAATGTTTTAACTGCTATCTTTTTTTTTTTTTTCTCCCCTCAATCCTAGGTCCTAATTAAGCAGTAACTGTAAGAGCAGTAACTGCAGTAATCATTCCTCCTTGCACTGATCTAATCTGAAGCCACGAGCAGCTGCAATAGTTATGCTACAAAGGATTTTTCCCCTTTGGCATATATTGCACAGGCTGTCCCTCAATTAGGTTACAAGTGCTTGAAGGCTATTGATTTATTTTTTTTTCTCTGTTTTATGAGAATGCTCCTCTTTTTAACAGTTTAATTTCTCTGGTTTGAATTTTGAATGATCAGGTCGTGAAACAAAAGTATTTATGCATCCGATTACCTGTTTATCTGGTCAGGGAAGCGCTACAGTAACACAAAACCCCCCTTTCCTCGTTCTTGAGCCGCTGGAGATCCCGTGCTCTGGGGTGTTGTCCTCCTCCTGCCGGATCACACACACAAAGTGGCTGTAAACGTTGATCGTATTTCTTAAGGGGAAGTGCTGTTGTGGCGTTGCTTACCGACATCCCAGAAACGTGCTGCGTGTGTGAAAGTTACTGCGCTGTGGAAATAACCCTGGGTTTTCCTTAGGTTGATTTGGGTGTGTTGCTAAGCAACTCGGGGCAACAAGGGGGTTGTACGTATTCTTTAGGCAGGGACGGGTCCCTTATAGAGATTTCCAGGTAAGGAACATAGAGGTGACAGAGGCTGATCACCGGCGGCACGAGAAGTTCAGCCCCGCAAACTTAACTTTCGTTAAGAGGAGTTTTTTTGAGAAAGAAATTGGATTAGACCCAGGGATGACGTATCCTGTTTGATTTCTTTTCCCCTTGCGCTCTGACGAGCTTTGTGTTTAGGCAGGCTTTTGTTTCTGGCTCTGACTTGCTCTAAAAAAAAATTTGGGAGTGTGTCTCGGGGTGTCGAGGGTGATGTGCTTAGCTTGATTGGCTCGGTTTGCTTTGCGAGCGCTTTGTTCTTCCCACCACCCTCAGGTCGGTTGTGCAACATGCCCCTACTATTTAAAAAGAGGAAAAAAAAAAAAAAAAAAAAAAAAAAAATGTTAGGAATTACAAAAGGT